CCAGCCCGCGGCCGTGGCCAGCAACGCGGCGGCCCGGAGCAGCATGCGGCTGGGGGTCCCCGGCGCCACACGCCGCCGACCTCCCCTCGAGGGATCCTCGCGCGCCCGGCCACGGCCGGCAGCGGCAGCCCAGCCGCTCCCCAGCCGAGGGGCGCCCCGCGCGGCGGCATGGCGCGGCCGCGCTCGGGCGCTCCCGGGTTACCCCGGGATCTTCCGGGCTGCCGGAGTGGGCCTCCGGGATGCCCTGGCCTCTGGGCCACCTGAGGCCGGCCCCCAGCTTGGCCCAGAAAAGCTAGAGCCCCAGAGGGGGAAGAAGGGGAGAGCAAGCAGAGGCAGGGGCAAGGACAGGAGAGGACGGGCCCCCGCATTCCTGGGGCCAGGGAGAGCCTAGCGTTTAAACCAAACAACTAATCGGCGCCCTGTTGGTTTTCGGCGCTGCACTTGTTTTCGGCGTCCTTTTCATTTTCGGCGCCCCCTTTTCGGCGCCCTATTTGATTTCGGCGCCCTGTCCGTCTTTGGTTTTTCGGCGCTCTTTTGATTTTGAACGCATCGTTGGTTCTGGGCGCCCTTTGGTTTTCGGCGCTCCTTTTGGTTCTCGGCACCCCTTTCGCTTTCGGCGATCCTGTGGTTTTCGGTGCCGTCTGGTTTTCGGCGCCCCTTTGGTTTTCGGTGTCCTGTTGGTTCCCGGCGCATCTTTGGTTTTTGGCGCCCCTTGTTGTGTTCGGCGCTTTCTGGGTTTTCCTCCTCCTTTTGGTCTTCTGCGCCTCCTTGGTTCTCAGCGCCCTTGTGGTTTTCGGCGACCGCTCGGCCTTCGGCGCTCCGTTTGTTCTCGGCGCCCTTGTGGTTTTCGGCGCCCCTTTGGTTTCCGGCGCTCCTTTGGTTTTCGGCGCTCCTTTGGTTTTCAGCGCTTTTCGGTTTTCAGCGCTCCGTTTGCTCTCGGCGCCCTCGTGGTTTTCGGCGCCCCTTTCGTTTCGGGCGCTCCTTTGGTTTTCGGCACCGTTTCGGTTTTCGGCGCTCCTTCAGTTTTCGGCACCGTCTTGGTTTTCGATGCCCTTCTGGTGTTTGTCGACCCTTTGGTTGTCGGCGCCCTATTGGTTTCGGCGTCCTTTTCAAGTTCGGCGACCCTTTGGTTTTTGGCGCCCTTTTGGGTTTCGGTGCCGTTTTGGTTGTCGGCGCCCTGTTGGTTTTCGGCGCTGCACTTGTTTTCGGCGCCCTTTTGGTTTTCGGCGCTTCTTTGGTTTTCGGCGCCCCTTTGGTTTTTGGAGCCTTTCTTGGTTCTCGGCGCCTCTTTGGTTTCCGGCGTTCGTTAGGTTTTCGGCTCCTTTTTAGTTGTTGGCGCCTTTCCCGTTTTCGGCGCCGTCTTGGTTTTCGGCGCTCCTTTGGTTTTCGGCGCCCCTGTGGTTTTCGATGCCCATCCGGTTTTCGGCGCACCTTCGGTTTTCGGCGCGCCTCGCATCCTTTCGATTTTCGGAGTTCCGTTGGTTTTCGGCGCCCTCTTGGTATTCGGCGCTACTTTCTGTGACCCAAAAAGGAGGGGGGGGCTTCTGACAGAGGGGGTTGTTCCAAGCTAGATGCGCTCGCATCATATCTGACGTCCTACCCTTCCCTCCCATCCCTTACCATGGCGCTGATTTTCTCTATCCGCGGACGCGTGTCGTAGCGGACCTGTGGCTCCGCGCGCGCGTGCGTAGTGGGTGGTGGTGCGCGTGCGTGCGTGCGTGCGTGTGTGCGTGGTTGTGGTGGTGGTGGTGGTGGTGGTGGTGGTGGTGGTGGTGGTGGTGGTGGTGGTGGTGGTGGTGGTGGTGGTGGTGGTGGTGGGTGGTGGTGGTGGTGGTGGTGGTGGTGGTGCGGCGCGGTGGTGGCGGGCGGATGGGCGCGCGAGAAAGAGGCCCGCGCTGGGGCGAGAACGCCATCCTGAACGACGGAGGCCAAACACCGATCCGAAAATGAAGCCCACGCTGCAGCGGGAGCACGATTCGGAACGATTCGGGAGCAGAAATGAGGCTGGCGCCTCAGCGAGAGCAACATTTTGAAAAAAACGCAGGCGAAAACCCAACTCCCGGGAATCCTGTGTAAAAAACAATACGCGGGGGGGGTCGGCCACTCCCAGCACGCCATCAGGGGAAGAGGGAGAATAGTATTCATATTGAGTAATTGTACAAAGGGGAGGGGGGAAGCTAAGCCCCCCCCTTCTGCAAATGGAGGGGGTGGGTAGCTTCCGGCGCGCGAAAGGGGGGGAAAGGTAGCTTGACAGAAAAAAGGGAGGGGTTTCCGACAGGTGAGGTCCACGGGGGGGGGGGGGAGCTGAGCCCCACCCTCCTTTGAACAGGGATAGGGGGGGCATTCCGGAGCGCGAAAGGGAGGGGGGATAGCTTCGCAGGGGCAGAAAATTAGCCTGGCGAAGGACCCAACCATATGCAGTTGTGAGTCCCACAGCTGTGGTTATCGTCTCCGGTGGAGCTCCCTGTGGACCACGAGGCGCTGTACTGGGTGGGGGAGAACGCATGCGGACGGTGCCACTGGGGCCTTCGGCGGAGCTCCCTGTGAGCCACGCAACGCTGTGCTGGGTGGGGGCGAACTTTGCCACTGGCGTCTTCGGTGGAGCTCCATATGGGGCAACGAAACGCTGTACTGGGTGGGAGGGACGTATGTGGACGGTTCCACTGGGGCCTTTCGGTGGAGCTCCCGATGGGCCACGAAACGTTGTAATGGGTGGGGGAAGCGCATGTGAACTTTGCCACTGGGGCTTTCGATGGAGCTCTCTATGGGGCCACGAAGCACTGTACTGGGTGGGGGAAACGCATTTAAACTGTGCAAGTGGGGCCGTCGGTGGAGGTCCTTATGGGGCCACGAAACGTTGTACTGGGTGGGCGGGACGCATGCAGGCGGTGCCGGGGGGGCCTTCTGTGGAGCTCCTTGTGAGCCACGCAACGCTGTGCTGGGTGGGGGCGAACTTTACCACTGGCGCCTTCGGTGGAGCTCCATATGGGGCAACGAAACGCTGTACTTCGTGGGAGGGACGTAGGTGGACGGTTCCACTGGGGCCTTTCGGTGGAGCTCCTGATTGGCCACGAAACGTTGTACTGGGTGGGGGAAGCGCATGTGGATTTTGCCACTGGGGCTTTCGATGGAGCTCTCTCTATGGGGCCACGAAGCGCTACTGGGTGGGGGAGGCGCATTTAAACTGTGCCATTGGGGCCGTCGGTGGAGGTCCCTATGGGGCCACGAAGCGCTGTACTGGGTGGGCGGGACGCATGCAGACGGTTCCACTGGGGCCTTCGGTGGAGCTCCCTGTGGGGCCACGGAACGCTGTACTGGGAAGGGGGAAGACGCATGCGGAAAATGCCACTGCAGCCTTCGGTGAAGCTCCCATGGGGCCACGAAACGCTATAGTGGGTAGGGGAAACGCATGGAGACGGTGCCACTGGCGCCGCCGGTGGAGGACCCTATGGGGCCACGAAGCACTGTACTGGGTACGCATGCGGGCGGTAGCGCTGGGACCTTTGGTGGGACTCCCGATGGGGCTACGAAACGCTGTACTGGTTGGGGGGGACGCATGCGGGCGATAGAACCAGGGCCTTCGGTGGAGCTCCCTGTGGGGCCACGGAACGCTGTACAGGGTGGGAGGGGCGCATGCGGGCGGTAGCACTGGGGCCTTCGGTGGAACCGCCTGTGGGGTCACGAAACGGTATACTGGGTGGGGGGACGCATGCGGACGGCTCCACTGGGGCCTTCGGTGGAGGTCCCTATGGGGCCGGCCACGAAGCGCTGTACTGGATGGGGGGGGGCGCATGTGGGCGGTAACACTGGGATCTTCGGTGGAGCTCCCACGAAACGCTGTACAGGGTGTGGGGGATGCATGCGGGCGGTAGCAACTGGGCCTTCGGATGCTCCCTATGGGGCCAGAAAACGCGTGAGGGGTGTGGCAAAGTGAGGGGCGAGGGCAGAGGCAAGGAGAGGGAGGAGGGAGGAGGGGGAGGAAGGAGGAAGGAAGGAACGCGGTGCGCTGTCTCTTCAAAACAAAGACCCGGCACCACAGGATGGTTGGGAAAAAAGAGGGGGGGGCTTCCAGCAAAGGAGGTCCAATGGGGGAGGGGCGGTAGCTAACGGGGGACCCCGGACCCCCCCCCCTTTGGGAGTGTACCACGGGCGCGCTCTCGAATGTATACACGCTGCCCACGGGCCGAGAGGCAACAACCAGCCCGGTGAGCTCTGACAACCCTCCCACAAGAAGCACTTGACGAACAGACCCCTAGAATCTTGTTGAGGCCGTCAGGAGCACGATCGTGGAACTGCCGCAAAGAAGGACAACGCCAATTGCATCGGCGATCGCACGTTTCGCAACGCGGATGACAAGGATGAAACGACAGTGGTTGGGACGCTGATGATGGCCACGACGGTTGCGATGCTAGTCAGCGGAACGGCGATGGCAATCATGATCACGATCGTGACCACAAGCGTGGCGATCAGGCAAATCAGTATTCGGACGTCGGCGTCGATGATATTGGCCCCCCGTCCACAGCTGGCGCAACGCGCGCCGCTTGGCGGGGAAGCTACTGCGCTCGGGCCCTTTGAACAACACTGGGAATAGGCGGGGATGGCCGGGGGGGGTCACCAAAACTCTGTCCGTCAGGTTCTTGTGCTTGGGAGGATGATAAAAAAAATCGCTCCGCTTCCTCAGAATGTGCTTGCTTGCCGTGCTAGGGACGTGGCGTGCAGAGCAGCCGCTCGGCGAAGGTGATGATACCACGTAGCAGCCGAGACGGGAGGAGGGAGGATAGAGGGAAAGAGGAAAGAGGGAAGGCGGCAACAGGACAGAAGGATAAGGGGAGAGGGCGGAGGCAGGAGGCAGGAAGGACAGAGAAGGAGGCATGAGAAGAGGAGAGGGGGAGGAGGAGATACTTAGAGGGAAGAGGAAGCGGAGAGGGAGGACGGAGACATGAGGGGGAGGAGAAGAAGAGGATGAGCAGGAAGACGACGACGAAACGCCCCGAAGGCGCCTCGACGGTGTATGGCGCGCCCTGTGTGGGCAGCATCTCGACCGAGGCGGGAGACACGTCGGCCCCTGTGAAGCCCATGCCCCCGGGGAACAAGTGCACGCCAGGCATGGAGAACACGAGGGCCTGCGCGGAGGGGAAAGGAGGAAACGGAGGAGGAGGAGGAGGCAAAGGCATTCGAGGCCCACTCGGAGCCTACGTTGCCCCAGCAGTGGGGTATGGAGTTGGACCCTCACGTTGCAGGGATGGGGAGTCATGATATGGAGTCGGGCGACAGGGCAGCCCGTAGGATGCAGGAGAAGGAGGGGGGAGCAGGAAGGAGGACGAGGACGAGGAGACCTGCTCATTCTCTTCCGCCTCCTCCTCCCCCTTATGCTCCTCATCCCTCTCCTCCTCCTCCTCCTCCTCAGCCGCCGTTTCCTACTCATGACACATCCGCAGGCGGCCGCACCAAGCACTCCCCGCAGAGCGGTTCCGTCCGAGATGGTATTTCCATGTCACTGCCAGCTCGACTGGCCTTCTCCTTCATAACTCTATGGATGACATTCCTCAAATGGGGCGTCTACACCCCGATGTCAATGGTGGCCCCGTTCAGATGCTTAGAAGTGTCCACGACGCTCGGGGTGCTGGCTGTACTCACGCTACCAGCGACGCGGTGGAGAAAACTCAGCAACACAAAGAAGAGGTTGTCCAACTCAAGACCAGCAATCACCATGTGCTCACCCGGGGATACGGGCGAGGCCCTCTTCCCAACAGTAACGCTGGAGTGGCCACCATGGCCAACAAGCGCTTCCCCGATAAAAAGCATCATAGACAGACAGTCGCCACCACGGGTTATACCAGGACGCGCAGGTGCAGTGCGCATTCGCAGAGGCAAAGTAGGCCTCACATTCATCGTGGCATACTTACCCCCACCCCACATTGGAGCAGCAAAACACGACCAATGGGTCAAGGCAGTGAACAGGAACCTGAAGTGGATCAACAGCATTCTCCCCAGGACGCCTACACGCAGTACCCCCATCATCGGCATGGGCCTGAACGACCACGTCGGCGAGGATGGTATGCTCACAGCGGACAGCAACAACGTATTCGGCAACGCAGAGCCTACTAGGGGACATCGCGAAGCAACCGCAGCCTTCCACAACATGATAGTCGTGCACGGGACGTCTCCTCAACACGTTCTGGGATGCGGGCCACACCCACGTCGGATTTGAAGAACAAGCGACACGGCCAGACTACATAGCAGTACCTCAAGATCTACGACACAACATCACACAGTAGACAGTATGGTGGAGGGCCGCATAGCGACTTCGGCTTATCAACGATTGCACGCCGAAAGACCACGTGTCGCTCATCGCCTCAGCCAATATCATCATCCCCAACCGCTTCACGGACCAGAGGCGCACACAGTGGAGCTACGACAAGCTCGCCATCAGCATGCAGACAGGTGCTATATATATATATATAAATATTAGACGGGAGTTCACTAGGGAGCTAGAGGACAAGCTGGGCGAGCGACAGAACATCATCGAGCAGAGCACCGAGCAGCACACCACCGACGGGCACTGGCAGCTACTGATCGACACCGTGGAGAACGTAGCCAAGCCATCTTTCGAGCGCAGGCAGAAAGACCCTGGAGGGCTACGTCACCTGCTACAGCGCGAACGCGTTCAACTACTGCAGCAACGAGCGATACGACGAGAGCCGTATCTTTAAGCCATGCCTAGCACCGGCGTGGATACAGCTCGCGCGCGCCACGCTAGCTTCAAGAAAGTGAAGCAACTACAGAAACGTGAACGCCAGCAGAAGCTCGAAGGCCTGGTATTCGAAGCCTCGACACACCGACAACATGCAGGCGTACATCGACTGGCTAGGTGCCTCGCGGGCACCAACTACGGCAAACTGTCGAACTACAAGGGCCAGGCCAAGTTTAGCCGAATGGTCAGGGCATGTCAGCCAGGTGAATGGAGCCAGAGGTTTCCAGGCACACCCCATCGATCTCAAGGGGGAGAAGAAGCTGCTGGCCGAAGCAGTAGACTACCCTAGATGCCAGACTGCAAGTGGAAGCCGGATACGAAGAATGTCATAGCGACATCAACGTCTACAACGGCCTCAGAAAGCGCCTCAAGTACTTCAAGAAGGGTGCCTGCGTACCAGAGTGTTCACTTCCAGCTGAGATGTTTCAAATCATCCTAGTCCATACCGACGTCACCACGGGAAACACCGACGACCGACGACCGCAAGCATCGAATTTGATCAAGAACTACCAGAAACACCGTGCACGGACAAGAGCTTGGAACGCATCATCAAGCACACATACCGAGTAGGCTTCGCCCCACTGGACGCACACCACAGCAAGAGCTTCACGCTGGACAAGCAGAGAGGCAAGCCCAAGGCACAAGGCCTACATATTCTTCATTTTCTATGCCCGTTCTGACGTTGACTCTACCGACAACAACAATGTCGTTCCAAACCGTGACGGCCAACCCCGCGTGCACATGGCTGCTGGCCTCACCAACGACGAGAAATACCCATGGCAGCATCTCGCATTGTGGCTAAGAGACTCAAGCGGGCAAACAAGGACTTCATCGTAGGCAGTAATGACGCGACCACCGCCTTCCCCAGCACCAAGACCGACAAAATATTCGAGACCATCGCACACGAGCTACACGCTACCGAATACGGACTTCTCAATAGAGATACCAATGTGCCACCGCTGCGATTGACGGGTTTGACTCTTCAGGGAACTTCGCAATGGGATCAGGAATCATGCCAGGATGCAGGACTGGGCCTACATCGTTCAACTTCACTTACGAGCGCACCATCGGCGCCTGGCTAGACGAGACGGAACAGGATAGCCTACCCTTCGCAGCTAAGTCCCCCATCAAGCACGAACTCGTCTACCTGTCAGTCTACCTCTCTACGTCGACGACATCGCCAAGATGCATCTCGTCCCATCGGACACAGCCAAAGAAGCATCAACCATCCTTGATAATTAAAACCGCATCCTCGACCAACGCCTCGACGAACATGGCTACAGCCATAACGCCGGCAAGGAGGAGCTTGGAGGACTACGGGTACGACGAGAGAACGGCACACTGGGCCAACATGTCAGACAAACATGTTCAGGACCATGAAAAATATCGGGGGCCACTTTCACCATGCCGGCAGCAACAGCATCGAGCTCGACCAACGCATCCAAAACCTCAAGCGATCATGTGCGATCATGGGCAAATTCTGGCACCGTCGAGTTTCATGGAGGCTGAAGAGTACCCGTTTCATCAACAGGGTGGTCGGAGCAGCTACAAGTCGACTCGAATAATGTACATATATATATATATTCATATATATATATATACACACTAGAACCACGTGCGCACACTGGAGTGTGCACTAGAACCACGTGCGCACACCGGAGTGTGGAGGGAAACTGGGAGAGCAGAATGGTACGTTAATCTCTCTCTCTCTATACATATATATATATATATATATATATATATGTGTGTGTGTGTGTGTAGATGCGTGTATATATACAAAAACACCCCACCACCACCCCCAACGAATTTGGCCCTCCCCGAGCCTCCAGGCAACCCTTCAGACGATCCGGGAGAACCGCACGACGGCCACAGCCGGGTTCCAGGCGTTCCAGCGCGCTCCCGAAACGACCCCAAAAAGCCTCAATACGGTCCACGACGACTCCCAAGAAGCCGTCATACCCCCAAAGATCGTTCCGAAACGTCCCAAGAGGCCTCCAAGAGCATTCCCAACGAGGCCCCAAGAGACAAAAACCATTGTGTTTCTGAAAGTTTGGGGGGAATTTGGAGGTTCTCCTCTTTTCGGCTTCCCGACGCTCCAAGACGTCGGTCTTCTGGGCGTCCGAAGCCGCTTGGGAGGCTCCCGAGTCGCCCCACAACCATCCGAAAGGGCTTCCAGGCAAACCAAGAGAACCCCAAAACGGCACACCAGGGGTGCAAGATGGCCCTAAGAGAGCCCCATGGCGGCCCAAGATGACCCCAAGACACCCTCCGAAGCATTCCAAATCGTGACCCTGTCACTCAGGGAGACCAAGGTTGGAGGCAGGGCGGCCCGAGGAAGCCCCCAGAGGTCCCCAGAACACGCCCAGGAGGCCTCCAGAAGGCCTTAAGAAAGCCTGAAAAACTTGTGTGAGGCCTCCAGAGGCTCTCCAAGGAGGAGCCTCCGCAAAAAGAGCTGAGGAGGATGGGGAGAATGCGCAGGGTATGGCGAGAATAAGGAAAAAGAAGCATGGAGGAAGGCTAACGAATCACATTATTATGTATTCCACCCCCCCGAGACCAGGGACAATTTTTTATCTGAGAGGCTCAACTTCCGCCAGGACCTGAGAGACAGCAAGCGCCGACATTCATATATATATATATATATATATATATATATATATATATATGGGAGCGGGCGCCGGCCACCAGATCACTAGGGAGCAGCACTGTGAGAGCAGGGTGGTACGCGGGTGGGAGGCTTGAGCAGAGGTAGCCACATACGGAGGACGGCTTTACAAGTGAGCTGCAATACAAACTCGTGTGGAACACTGCAATGTATTCCACCCCCCCGAGACCAGGGACAATTTTTTATCTGAGAGGCTCAACTTCCGCCAGGACCTGAGAGACAGCAAGCGCCGACATTCATATATATATATATATATATGGGAGCGGGCGCCGGCCACCAGATCCGCACTGACAGAAAAGAGAGCCAACTTTACTTGTCCACTGGCCCGGAGGGCCGCACGAAAACGATTCAAACCTACTAACCTACCAGAGGTGACTGGCCATACCTTGCGCCTTGAGCGCGACGAGAGCATCAGAGAAGGCCAGCGCTAACGCCCGACAGAGCCGAGGAGGGTATGGTTCAGCCACCTCTGTCCAAAACCGACCCTCCGAGTTTTTACCCTGGAGGTTCTGGTGAGGCCTATGAGAGGCCGAGCACAAATTATTCTTTCTTTTACACAGTCTTTCAATCGAGGTTAAATCAATCAGGACGCCCAAAAACTTGGTTCTTTTACGCCAGGGCGTCCCGAAGTGGCAAAAGTCGGTTGAAACAACCTGAGAGGAGGGGTTACGAGCGAGGGAGACGACGGC